CGCACCCCCCCCAAAGCATCAACAAATTCATCCGCGTCGGTATTTACGACATGCGGTCACGCGAAGAAAACCATTTGAACTTTCTGCTAACCCTTTCTTTCTCGGCTGTCAGATAAACCTGCCGAGTTGTTATTGCACGCGAGCCGGAATTCACCCAGAGAAACCTCGTGCGCGAATAAACAGGAAAATTCCCCGGAGTATCGAAAGCAATTAGCGATTCCTATAGAAGGCGCCATTACAACAGCCAACTTACGTAAACCAGCAGCCGCTGGTGACGGCAGCTATAACGTTTCCCGAAAGGCGCGACGTCGATATTTCGTAATGTACACTGGCAGAGGCCGCAGGAATAGCCTTACCAACCACCCGGCGTGACGCAAGCGTCACGTGCTAACAGACGTCTCCTTATTAGCCAAGTTCAGGACCGCGAAATTAAGCTTCAGCAACATCCTGTACGACGTATCATCCAGAGAGTCAACGTCCCTCTTGTTTCATAATTGGTTTCGCCGAGAAACGACGGATTAAAGATGTCTCCGCAAATCCACGGATCCGGTTCATTTCGGCGGAAACGAAAAACAAGTTAAGGACTACAGACTCTTGCAGTTCCTATGCGGCAACTCCGGTCGAAAACACAGAGAAAATAAATGAGTGGCATCGTTTTAGTGGCACGAAATATGATCACGGCCGAAAATATCACGTCAAAGTGAAGCCGCGTACTGCACTAAAACTGATTTTAAAGATGCGCCCAACTGCTCTTTAGCGGTCGACAACCGGGTTAAGCTTTGAGTCCAGCAACACTGGCAAGGTACCCTCGTGACGTCACGTCGCGGCAGTATGGCTGATGAACAGTGATGCCATTCCTTTAGCAGATAGTTTCAGGTTGTCCGTAGACGCCTGAAATTAAACTTCGCGCCGTGATATACATAAAACTACACCCAATATCGAGAAAAAAAATATATAATATGCCTTGTAATTCAGGAACACTGCCTTAGCTAAAAACAGTCGTGATCCCAACTTCAAAAATATTGACTGGAACAGCGCTTTAAGGAAGCATATAGCTAAGACGCGATCACAAACATCTAGGTTAATTAGATGAAACGCTACGGAGTTTTAGGATAGAGGACCCAACCCTTCGGGTCCCCCAGGCAGCATGGGGCTTACCACTGCGCATGCGCGTAACATCTGCGCTTGCGCACTGCGACGCCCCAAGCTGTCTGGGGGACCCACACGCTTGTTGAGGGGACCCAATGCGTTGGAGACCCCATTCTAGAACTCTCTAATGATAATTACCCCATAACAGGCGTGTCGCCCCAATCAACCTCGCGGCCTGTGAAAAAGAAGGAAAAAAGTCGAGTTTTCACACACAAAATGTACATAGAAGATTTCAACGAAAATTGAGCATGAAACTATCAGAGATGATATCAGACAGAATGATAAGCGAAGATCGCACCTTTCCCATACAACTCTTACGTGACAGAATCGTATAGCACATGACTACCTTGGAGGGATCCAAAGCTCCGAACGGCTCAATCACGTATAGTCGCGATACCAATTTCAAATCGACGTGACGCGAAGATCAGATTTCAGGGACAACCGAAGCCGGGCTCGGATAACCCGAGCAATCAGTGGCCACATCCGGTTGACGCAACGACGTACTTCCGGCGGAGAGAAACCGCCACCGTGTTGCGCGTCCTCCTCTCCCCTTCGAGGAAAAAGAAGAGCCGTCCCTCTTTTTCAACGGCACTTTCGCCCAGGGAACCTTTTTTTCCATTGGGATTAGACAATATCCGGTCTCGGACGGAAGCGGCGGAAAGCGAGGCGACGTCGCTAGGCAACAGACAGAGGACGGCCGCGCTCCTGGGATTCTTCACTCCGACCAGGCAACACTGGGTGGAGGAGGCAACACTGGGTGGAGGGTGTGGCGGCGGGCCCCCGGTGAAACTCTGCCCACTCGCGCAGACTGCATGCAGCGATGCGACTGACCCGAGTCATTTTGTAGCACCTTTTGGAGCAGCCGAACGCCCTTAGTGGAACAGCAAAAAGCACCTTTGGAGGAAAAGCTTACAATTCAATTTTAAGGCGAAAGCCTTACTCGTCCCACTGAGCGAAAAAAGTAAATGGCAATGAAAACGCGATTGCGCGGCACGCGCCGCTCAATCGTATGCTCAAAGACGAAGCTGTCTTTCGCGTCGTCCTAGACGTCGCGAAGGATGTTTTCTTGACGCCGTCCTAAAGGTTGACCTAGAAGTGGTCATGTAAGTCGTTCTAGAGTGGCGTTCGCCCTCCTACACGTAACCAGTTTTAAGTGTACCCGTGTAATTTTTTTTTATTAATACCACTGTTAATATTATATGCTAAAGGGGCACTGAAGTCATTTTTGAAAAAGGTTTTTGACCGTATATTTTTTTTTAAATCTGTTACTTCCCATATATATCAAGTTCTATACTACAGAACTGCCTATTCATCTAAGGGAAATAGAAAAACATGTCGACTCTTTTCTCGCGGAATACATTCCTAAAGATTTTATTGTAACACGTTTCCAAGAGAGTTTGATAGGCACACATTCAGATGAGACATCTTTTTCGCCACGGGCGAAGCCACCACTTGCAACTCGTCGACAGTCGCCCTTCGTCGACCCCTTCACTGGGAAGAAACTTTTTCCCAAACTGGGTGTGCCGCGATCTTTGAACGCCTTTTTTAACGAGGAAAAAAGCTACGCACGATTGTAATTTCGTGTTTGTTGGGATGCTTAGAGCCTCTAGATTGAGTTGTCACCACAAAAGAACGATCTCAGAATCGATTTCAGGGCCCCTTTAAGATTCGTGCGTTCCTTCATCCTTCTGCGCAACGGCAGGATTGATCTCCTCACACACAGAACTAGCTGTTTAGTGCCACATAGAAGCACTAGGGATGGCAACAAGATGCTGATCGATGAGGGACCGTATGAACTGCTGTGAGCAGCTATTTTAGGTACGGAATAAAATGTAAACCACACTACATTCCCCTAAAATCATGTTAAACCAATCTCGAGCGCACAAATTGATGTTTTCTTCGGGTTCTAAAGGTCGCAATAACAAAGAAATTCTTAAATACAAAAGAAAACCTCTTGTCGACACGTTCGGAAAATCAGTGACAATTTGTATGTAGAACCTGATAATAAAAAAGATCGGCACGTGAACGATAAGTATGTCTTCTTAAAACAATCCAGCCAAACTCGTTAAAGTTTTTCCCAAGGTTTCATCCCCAGCTTCACCTTATTTTTTTTTTAAATTTATTATATCTACTGCACTTCGAACGAATAAAACATAAATGTGACAACTAAACAACGGAGTTCAAATAAAAATAAACCTATCCAGCAGTTCATATGAATCTTCTTGCGAGTAACCTCGCTAAATCCTGAATTTTGAAAATACAACGCCAGAATACCGAAGTTTTTTTTCTCACAAATAATGGCCCCAGTTTAATTAAGAAATTTCTACTGCAACTAAGAGTTGTTACATTAACACTCACGGAGTTCCTTTTTTTTCTAATATGCCGCTCGCGTGTTAAACGTCCCGCTGTGTGGAATGCCTTTCCTTTAGCACTCAGATGCACTGCGGCGAAGCCAAATAAGCAAAATGGCGATGCTTACTTTGCGGCAGACTTGTGGCCGTTATTTGAAAAATGTAATGGTTTGCAGCTACAAGTTACCGAGCCTCAAACGTAAAGGATTACTGGTACAAATTACTTTCGCTGAAAAGTAACGGGGTATTTTACTCATTACGTTACGCATTACTTCCACGTTACTTTTCCCGTATACACATTACCAAGAAACCAATAGAAACAATTTTGACGTCTTCAAAAATGCTTCGCAACACTTTACTTTCAATTTCTCGTATGCCCGCATTATAGTAGCCCTTGTAAAAATAAAATGTTCTATTTAAGAGAAACAATGTGGGTACACTCCGTTCACTTGTAAGCTGACATCTGTACATGCCTCGCACAATTTTCTAGTGGCTCTAGTGTTTCCTTTACGGTTGTTCTACCTTTCATTGCGTTGTCACTTTTGTTGAACTCGTTATCTTAGTGCTGCTGAATTGCCCGCTCACATTGCTCCCGTTTCTGTATTATGTTCATATTTTTTCACAAAAGTAACGAGTAATTACAGCCACAAAAAAGTAGCGTGGAAATTACAAAACTACTTAAAAACTAATCCGTTACTTTTAACGGATTGCTTCCTAAGTCTGCTTCACGGTAGCCGCTTCACTGCACTATACAACAGCGCGGTGGGAAGCGCACTCAACGAAGCTAACTTACACGCCAAAGCAAAGAACACAAGATGTCGGGAAACTTCCGAGTACTGTCAGGGGTTGGCACTGACAGAAACATAAAATAAGATAGTACACTATTTTGCGGCTGAAATCGAACATCCCGAAAATTTGCACACCAGCCTACCAGGACGATCGAGACGTGTAGCGGGGCCTGAGCCATTCGGCAGTTTTCGTAGATCGTTTCCGCTGTCCTGCAACGATACCCGGAACTCTACAGTCAAGGCCATGGGCGCGGAGGCGCAGTAGCGGCTTCTCGTTGCGGAGGGCCTAGCGGAGGGTGAAACGAGGTCTATGAAAACTTCCCATTATATTTTGAACATTAATAAAGTCGAATCGAGGTTTTGGCGCAATGTCGGCGCAAGTTCCTCACATCTGGGCACAATGTAGCAGGATGTAGAGGGGTAGGCCCTTTTCGGGGTAGTTTGGCGCAAATGGCGCAGCAATCACGTGACTGCAGTCGTCTGAAGGGTGCCGTGCCCACAGCAGCTGCTCCGCTGCGGTGGGGGGCCACAGCCGCGCCTGGGTATACAGACGAGCTACTCGTGACGATTCTGACCACATATAGCTGGTTGACTTCCCAGCGAATATAAGGGACGGGGGATAATACGAGCCAACGCTTACTCATTTGTCTCGTCTCTTTGCAATTTGTTTCCTTGGCAACCAAATAGCCAATCAACACAACAGCAGCATCAGTCATTTTGGCTCTTCTTTCTTGCAACTAAACTCAAATCCTCCGCAAACAGTTGAAGCCCGCAAGGACAAACAGTACAGGCCGTAGTACAGGCCGTAGGACAGGCCGTAGTACAGGCCGTAGCACAGGCCGTAGCACAGGCCGTAGCACAGGCCGTAGCACAGGCCGTAGCACAGGCCGTAGCACAGGCCGTAGCACAGGCCGTAGCACAGGCCGTAGCACAGGCCGTAGCACAGGCCGTAGCACAGGCCGTAGCACAGGCCGTAGTAAAGGCCGTAGTAAAGGCCGTAGTAAAGGCCGTAGCACAAGCCGTAGCACAGGCCGTAGTAAAGGCCGTAGCACAAGCCGTAGCACAGGCCGTAGCACAGGCCGTCGCACAGGCCGTAGCACAGGCCGTCGCACAGGCCGTAGCACAGGCCGTAGCACAGGCCGTAGCACAGGCCGTAGCACAGGCCGTAGCACAGGCCGTAGTACAGGCCGTAGTACAGGCCGTAGCACAGGCCGTAGCACAGGCCGTAGCACAGGCCGTAGCACAGGCCGTAGCACAGGCCGTAGCACAGGCCGTAGCACAGGCCGTAGCACAGGCCGTAGCACAGGCCGTAGCACAGGCCGTAGCACAGGCCGTAGCACAGGCCGTAGTACAGGCCGTAGTACAGGCCGTAGTACAGGCCGTAGTACAGGCCGTAGTACAGGCCGTAGTACAGGCCGTAGTACAGGCCGTAGTACAGGCCGTAGTACAGGCCGTATAGCCCGCCACGGGCTACGACCAGTCCTAACGGACTACAGCCAGTTCTAACGGACTACAACCATGCCTTTTTGGACAGGTCGTATAGTTAGGGCTGGGCGTCGATTCAGAATTGTAACCCGATTAACCGACGCCCTTTAACCGATTCATCTGTTTCCTTCCATTCAACGCATAATTTAAAAAAAGAAAAGTCAAAATTACATCCTTTGCCTTTGCTGGATATGTGAAAAACGGCGCAATGAACAATTTCGGACTTTAAAACTGATACGTAGTTGAGAGCAGTCAAAAGACACACTCACAAATGATTACTTCAGCTGTAGAGGCAAAGTCCGGCAATAGCGAACTCCTTTGACTGTTCGCGGCCGTCTCTGCCGCGCTAAAGCGACACTCGCACCGCGTAGAATTGGCTGGGACACGTAGAACTTCCGCACTAGTTTGGAGTTAACAATCTGGTCCCTACAATTTACATTAGGTCAAATTTCGTCATGAAGTTTGCATTCCTACGGGTGTACTCGTCCAGGTGTGCGTGGTGAAAGCGTAGAATTTTTCTTTCCTATAAAAATTAATCGCGATTAAATCATTAATCCAATAAGAGGTAGGTTCATCGATCAAGTGGCCAGCCCTAGCTGTAGTCATTCACGGCGATTTATAGCCATTTACGACGATTTATAGTTTTTACGACAATTCATAGTCCTCTATTGTGATTTATAGCCCTCTACGCTGATTTATAATTGACGATTTACTATCACTATTTATAGTGACGAGTTGTAGTAAGATACGACGAGTCGTAGTACAATACAAGTTGCAGCCCGACACGACCAGTTGTAGCCCGATACGTAAGGCTGTAGTCCGATACGATTAGTTCTACTCCGATACCAGCTGTTGTAGTCCGATACGAGAAGTTGTAGTCCGATACCAGGAGTTGTAGTTCGACACGAGAAGTTGTAATCCGGTCCGATAGTTACTAAGATTGGAAGCCCGTGAGGACAAGCGGTAGCTCGTTTAGGACACGTTGTGCACACAGCTACGACCGGCGGAGAACCGTTAGGAAAGGTCGCATACAGTTACGACATCTTGGACACCAAAACGACAGGCTGCCGTTAAAATAGGATGTCGTTCGTTTTTTTGGACGCGGTTTCTTATACGCTGTAGCCCATAACAATAAACCGCGACAGACCGTGCCCCACTCCAGTTCGCTAGAATCATGCGGCTCACGGCAGCCATTTCAACTCAACCAAGACTCACACGCCGAAGGAACCTTCTCCGACAAAACAAAGCACCCGGAAGCATTTTGTGCGCGACGTACGGCATACATAAAACCCCATAAACCTAGATTCACTGTTTAAAAATTATATTAAGCCTCGGTTATAAATTTTACGTCCGAGCACTCAAGTGGATTGCAGCCACCCTCCCCCCTTTAAGATGGCTTTTTCGCGGCTCGTCGTTAATGCCTGCCGCTACCAGCTCCCCTCAACCACAAAGTAAGACCTCTCGAAAGACGTTACCAACGATAAAGCCCGAGTTTTTATATCAAGCGGAGTTTTAACCGCCTCATATAAAGTAGATATCAGTGAGATTAAGTGAAAAACAGCGTCCTGTTTGCAGGAACAGCGTCCTGTTCCTACAAACAGGACGCTGTAAACCTAGAGGCGTGTGGTTGAAGCGATGCAGTCACCAGCGGGTCGTTCTACGCTTACTGAAATGTATTCGCTGTGTATGAAATACGCTTAGTGCAGTTTTGTAAAACGCGATACTGAAACAGAAATGCCTGCCGACACACAAGAAGAAACCACAACGTTTGGGTTACGCGAAGCAGTGTTGCAGTTAGTGCTCGCTTACCCCCCGTTCACACTGGAAGCGGATCCGCGTTCGCGAAGCGGTTGCGAAAGCGGTTGTATAAAGATCCAGTGCAATTGCACGCGCATTTGATGTCATCGTGTGCGCGTGCAATTGTACTGAATCCTTATACAACCGCGTTCGCAACCGCTTTGCGAACGCGGATCCGCTTCCAGTGTGAATGAGCCCTTACTGTCACATCTATCGAAAATTGCACAAGAGAAAGAAAAAACAAGGGAGAACTGGAATGGAACCCGAAGAAAACTACGTAATGGACCAGACCACATTTACAATTACAAGCAACGTCAATTCGAAAAAAAATAAATAAAAACGGATAACGTATTTAGCGATTAACCCAGTTGTGCCTGGCGCAGACGAGAACGCCGCTTCGCTCTAGGACCACAAAAAGGGTGACCGAGGAAAAGAAAAAAAAGAAACCAAAAATGAGAAGTCACCCTTTATCGCTAAGTATTTGTACACTCCGGGGACCCTAACCTTTTGACACAAAAGAATACGAGCATTTATTTCCAGTTATAAAAAGAAATCGTAATAGCAAAAAAAAAAAAAAAAAAAAAAACATTTTGAGACAAGACGGTGAACGATTTTTAATTGCCTCTCCCACGCAAGAAAGCGGGTTGCAACAGCCAGATAAATAATAACCCGGTGTCCCATTGTAACCGAGAACGCAAAAACGCCCCGCGCCACTTACAATATTAGAGGAAACGGAGTAATTGAAAAGACGCCGACTGATACAAAGAATAAAAACTTGGGTCTTAACACACATCATACACGGAACAAAAAAAACGCATTACAGAATTATGAAATTTTGCTCGGCTAAACGAAATCAAAAGAAACTGAGAAAAAAAATGGCGGGTAATAAAAGGCCGTACTTCAATTTCTTGCATGTGCCGACAGAAAGGGGCGCATAAGGGCGCGCACAGTTGCGCAACCATTCAAATGGGGCCTTTCGAAATGCTCGCTTTTCCCGTGCGCTTCCGAGCTCGGTGGGAAAGCCAACCCTCCGTTTTGGAGGAGGCAGCCTTACAACTAGCGTTTTTTTTTTTTTTTTTTTTTCGAAAAAAAAAAGAGGGAAACAAAAAAGGGCGGCAGAAACCACGCTGCCTTTTGAGGCGGCGGTCTTTTTGGAGGAAATGCAACCGAGCATAGCTCGAAAATTGGAGGAGAGTTTCAAAAGCGTTCGCGAAGAATGCCAAATTTGCTCCTTTTGACTGGAGAGAAGAAAGGGCGCAGGCGGGGAATGCCCCACCCCTCCCGGAAATCGGGTTGGAGTTCACGTCGTCTCGGGGGGAAGGCAATTTGCGTAACGGTCGACCATCTTGGAAGCCAACGTGTTGTGGAGCGTAGCTTCGTTAATTCAGCAAAGTAAAAAGAAAACGGCTCATTCCTGAAGACATTTTGAACAATTGAAGGGTTACATTAGGGGGTCAAAGTTTCCTTGCGCGTACGCGTTAGGAATCGACGGAACGAGAGAGGGGAGAGAGAAAGTGAGACAGAAAGAGAGAAAGTAAACGTAAGACTCAAATAGGCTGAAATTATACTTTGTGAAACAAACATTGGAGAACTAATATTCAATGAAAGGGAAGGCCAGGATCGAGTCAAGCGTGCTGGTATGTTAACATTTCCAAAACACACTCAGGTCTTGACATACTCTAACCAGTGACCGTACATTCAGCATGGTTCGATTTACACAAATTTACACCGTTTTTATTTTAATTCGTAGACATTAACATAAATCACGTTTTCTTTTTTCTTTTTTTGCAGTATATGTTTGGTGTCAACATTGTTCGATGTTTCTGCTCAAACTATTAGTCAGCGAATGCACCGACAGGCTACCGAAGTACGTAACCGGACCCCGTGAGAAGTGTTGACAACGTGCGCAGCAGTGCTGGGGAAACGGAAACAGTGCACGACGACCAACCTTGCTTCGAGTGGCCTAATCGGCGGTTTTGTCGATTGGACGCCACTCCACGCAGATTTCAAACAAAGGAAGCCCACTCGACCTGTGCTGCGTGCAACGCGAGGGAACGGGGAGGAGGAGAGGGGAGGGGTGGGGAGGGGGGGGCGCCACTTAAGAGAGAAGACGCACAGCCATAAGCCTCCTAGATCACAACACAAGGCGCACTTCTACGCCCGTGAGACCTCTCTCACCATCCCTGTGTCGGTGAAAACTTCTCGCCAAAATACTACCCAATCGTGGATTCGCGAAAACACACACACATATATACTCACACAAAACACCTTTGGTAGATAACGCTTGCCTTGCAGAAGGCCGAGACGCTATACATCCCATCAGCAGCCGAGAAAGTTCTCGTTCTCACCGAGGACAAAACTCGGACACCCTGGAGAGGTTGGCTACATCCTAAACTCCGTTTCACGTTTACAATGGGCCTTCAGTGGACGCCACCAGCCATCCCGGCCTATCCACAGCGCCGGGACGCTATACCGCGACCACGCGCGTTGCTGCGCTTCTCTTCGAGGTCACGTGATACCCAGGGAGCATCGGATTGGCCGCGACGGATCGCATCTTATACGCGGCGGTCCGTCGCGAGCTGAAACCGAGTGTGACTGCGTTGTCAGACGCCTAGCCGAGAAGATTGCGACGGGAATTAACCTCTAATTGCGAAAACCCGACCGTATGCCAGCTTGGATGAGTCGACCCCAGATCCCCCGTCAGATTCCTCGCAAAGTCTAGCGAGGTTATTACGCAAATTAACGCCAGATGGCGAGCAGAGCAAAGAGGCCATTCGCGCCGCCAAGCAGGTCTCTCGCTTGGATAACAACAGCCTTCCTTCCCCGACGAGAGTTCGGCAGCCAATTAGGCCGGAGAAGCCCATTGTGACGCGCACGTACGGGTGAAAAAATGGCGACGCGATTAGGTGTAATTGATCATTCCGCACAGGGAGCACGGAGTTTATGACGGACTCTGGCATGCGTACGTTTCACGAACAAAACACTACTAAAAGATATTATTCGGTATATATTATCCCGGAAGTGCGTCGGCGGCTTAGGCAGACTTGACTCGTGCCATGTACCGTTCTTTACGAGCCGATAAAAAAATGTTATCGATATCAGTAGTCCAGAACGGTAACCAAAGATCTAAAGACAGACATTTTAAAGATTCAGATGCTCGTATACGCTAAAGTATAGCGAGTGGCATTGACAGAAGTAACAGATTCATATATTGCAAAGACCTATTCTCAGAAAAAAAAAAGAAGCTATTTACAAAAATAAAAAGTCGAAGGAAAAGGATGTCCGGTACCCGCCATCTTCTACTTACATGCTTTGAATATCTGCTTACGAAACCCCAAACGCCCAGGTATATCGGTTGAGAAGAGCCAAAAGGGCCAGCAAAGCTTACAGGGCGCAAACCGACCGAACGAAGATTACGCGTATCGAACTACACTCCTTTCTGCCGACCGAGATATTGTGTGCCTCTATTGTGTCGATGTCAATCCTAGACACCGGAACAAATACCTCATCATCAGCATCGCAAGTTCGCCGAGACCTTCCGACCCCCTCAACGACAAAGCGTCAACGAAACCGAGAACGACGAGCGTGCAAACACCGCCACCACACAAAGTCCATCGTCGTGGCCGCTCAAAGATAAGTCGGGGATGTCGCGAGTTCACCGACGTTCCAGTCCGACCAGGTTCGACCGAGTTTCGACCGAAGTTCGACCTTTGCGGTAGAGGTCGGTCGAACGTAGTTCGACCAAAGTTCGACCGAAGTGGACCGAAGTTCGAGTGTTAGGCGCATGCACGAAAATCGAGAACAAGCTGACGTCATCAGACGAAGGAGAGTCACACGCTAACCAGGGATGGGGCAGTATTTCAAGAACTGGTATTTAAAATACTTTGAATATTTTGTATTTCGTATGTAATTAAATATTAAATATTTGAATACTAAAAATATAGTATTTAAAATAATGCCCAAATGCTATTTTGGGTACTGTTCTTCGCAATCAAATACGATATTATTATGCACTCTCTGGGATGAGAGCCATCTGCGAAGAGCGCATGAAACTTGCTGCGGTTTGTTCCTAATAAGCGTGAAAAAAAAAAAAAAAAGGACGAGTAGAACAAGGATTTAACAGGGTGGTACAATTATCGACTTTTGGATTGAGTGATCTAATCGCTCAAAGGTCGAATTAACGACATGTTTCAAGATGCTTCATTGCTTTAACTGAGAGATCTTCCAAATTAGACTTGTACTGATTACATTATCTTCCTGACATTGTACCCGCCCATTTTATGACGTCAAACAATTTTTATTTGCAGAGCTGCCTGATTCTTAGTATATATAGAAACCACTCTTTAATTGGGCTACATCTTTTTCTTCCTTTTTTACTCGTGGTTAAATTTAGGTAT